ATCAGGAATGGAACAGTATTGTCTTTAGTGAGGAGTCTCGATTTTGTTTAGGCATGCACGATGGTCGTGCCAGTGTTAGAAGGCGACGTGGTGAAAGGAGGAATCCACAGTTTTTTGTTGAACGACATGTTCATCACACTGTTGGAGTTATGGTTTGGGGTGCTATAGCTTATGGTTCCAGGTCACCTTTAATCTTCATCAGAGGGTAACATGAACGCGCAGCGTTATATCCACGAAGTTCTAGAACCCTATCTTTTACCCTATCTTGACACCCTGGCAGATGCAACTTTCCAACAAGATAATGCCCCGACCACATGTTGCAAGAGTCACAATAGACTTCTTTCAACATAATGATGTCACATTGTTACCATGGCCACCAAGATCTCCCGACTTATCCCCAATTGAGCTCGTGTGGGATATGATGGGTAGGAGATTGCTCAATTTGCAACGTCCTCCTCAGACTCTAGAAGCACTTCGAGAGGAGTTGGTGGTTGCCTGGAATGAGATACCACAGGAGGACATTGACCACCTGATCAGAAGCATGCCTAGGCGCGTTGGTGAATGCGTAGCACATCAGGGTGCATCCACACATTATTAAAGGTCAAGGGCTTTAAAGCAGTGCAATCATTTGAAATTTTATCATTTACTTATTATGCTTCATTAAGTACTTATACAAAATTTTATTAAGATAAAACCATTTAAACTGGGTGTTCGGACTTTTATGTCACTTAGTATACATCGGACTTTTATCATTTGATGTTCCCGTTGTTACCATGATCAGAAGAAGCATCCTAATCATACATCTCTGATTAATGCTGAAAAAGTTACGTTTATAACCCCCTACAATCCTCAACCATTACAAAAACTGTTCTAAAAAACGATTGTTTATGCTGCTAGGTGGCAAAAACCCATTCTTTCTGATTCCCAGACTGACGGTCAACAAACCACAAATTTGTCTTCGAACACATTAGGAGCTAGGATGTTCCTCCATTTTTGATGATAACGTTTCCCAAAAATTGAAAAATGAATTTTGAATTCCAAATCATTTTATCCTTAAGCTATCGAGAATGTGACCTTTTGACGGAGAATAAACAAATGCATGGTAAAAATAGTAGTAAGCTGGATCTGTAGAATTTCTGTTTACTCAGTTCAATAAGCACACTACACATGAGAGATCACGAGACATTAAACGGTGAGTTGCTGTTGTTTATAAACAAATAGAGGAATGCAAATAGTTATGAGGTTAAAAGACTGAACCTTGATGGATTCCTGGTATTTAAGCTTGTATGATTCGCAAAGAAAAATTCAATCAAGTAGACTGACTCTGTACTTCCTACACAATGCAGTCATCGCAACGCATCTTCAAAGACCAAGAAACTTAAATTTCTGTGAGGGGGGTAAAATCCCCCCATCTTTTGATGAAAATATTATTTTGATTGGTTAGTTTATTATAGTTAATATTACGTATTGATTTGATTTTGTTCGAAAAACAATTTTTCCATAATTTTACACGAAAAAGGGATCTTTTGTAATATAATGCTCCGAAATAATGATTTTGAAAAAAATTCTTCGTTTTAACCTAACATATAAGAAAACAAGCCATTTTTAGTTTAATTATACAAACAATTCAAGAGAGATCATTTGTTTTAAATTGAAGGGGAATTCAAAATAATTTTTATTTGGTAAAAGACCATTGGCGTACCATTTGTTTCTCAAAAAATATCGAAGTCAATGCTCGTACGACGCCACTGTTAAAGATAAAAATTATTTTGCGTTGAAAAATATGCCACTTTATTAACTTTCACTACGTACTAAATATCAGTGAAATATCTGAAGCGGTTCTTAAAATATTAATTAATTTCTATTTCTTTTTTTCCTAAAACTGAAACACCCCGATTTTGTGTAAGGAAACATTTTATAAAGCAAACTAACATTAATTTTTTATGTAGATTCACACCCTTAAATATTCTCATATCATTAAGGAACACCCTGTACAATTAATTTTGCTGAATGTCATTATTAAATGTAATTATATAATTAGTAAATTAAACTATTAGATGTTGAAATGAATTACTTTTGTGTTATTTATGGTAATTTCAATATGAATAAATTATATTGAAATGCTGGGATTACTGCGTTTTTCCTCAGAAATAATAACATCAATAGATTATGAAAACTACGCAAAAAGGCAGCAAATCTAGAGGGTATAAAATCAATAAATCACAAGTTACTTATTTTTGGTTTACGACAATTAAAGACGATAATTAAATACTCACTTCACTTAGATATTATAATATCCGTTAGCTATTGACGCCAATAAGTAAACGTATGTACAAATAATTACCGCCATATCTCTTTGAAAATTAAACAGAAGAACGCGTTCACTATTTAATGAAACAAAAATATTCAAGGATAACTAGATATGCGATTACAAGCATAAAGATAGAAGCAGAATTTACTAGAAAGGCGTAAGAGTCGTTATTTTGAGGTAATACTAATAAACAGAAAATAATTAGTTTTCCACTTAATATATCATGATATAAAACTAGCAGGATTTTACATGGAAAAGTATGCTAGGTGGTTTTTTCTATACTGATAAATACAGGGTGGCGCATCGAAAACGAACAGACGCAGCTCAGTTTTTTTTTTTGGAAAAACGGTCAGACCCGTCGATTTTGTTTTCGAGGCGGATACAAGTTTGGCGACAAATCACGTTAGCAGGTGCAGCCCCCTAAGCGGGGGTGACACCCCTCCCAAAATCTTCAATGGAAAGGGGGGTCGAGTGATACCTTATTTTAAAGGTCTTTCAATTCTCTTTATAATGATATAAAATTAATGTACTTCAGTTCTTTAGTTTTGAAGATTTATTGATTTAAAGCTTAAATAAAACTTATACATCATCATTAGTAGAGATCAATACATTTGGCAGCAAAGTAATTTGAAAATGAAGAATGAACTGACCCGTTAGGCAAGTAAATGTCGAAAATGGCCAGCATGACTCTCCATGCAATAATAAAGATTTTGCTCAAAACGTTAAAGCACATTTTGCAATAGTTAAGGAGTAATTTGAAGGCACTCATTCACAATTCTTTGTCGCAGGTCTTCTAATGATGTTGACTGTGTAGCATAGATTTCGCTTTTTAAATGACCCCACATAAAGAAATCCAATGCATCGATCTGGAAACTTCTGATCTAAATATTGTCGAACACGTAATGCGTAATGTGGTGGGGCACCATCCTGTTGGAACATCAACCTATTCGCAATATACCGCCGATCATTCTGATTTTCAATTATGGCTGTTCAGGATCTATGGCGTCTTCCAGTAATTCCAAATACATTTCACCGGTCAAATTTGCAGGTAAGAAAAAAGGAACAACTAAATGATCGCCAGAAATTACTTACATAATTACTAATTAAGTAAATTCTTTTAGTCAAATTTCTTCTGAAAATAGTACAAACTAATCTGATGTACCTATTAAAGTCTACTTCAAGCTTTAAATCAATAAATCTTCAAAACTACTGAACTGAACTTCATGTATTTTACATCATTATAAAGGGAATTGAAAGACCTTTAAAATAAGGTATCACTCGACCCCCCTTTCCATTTAAGATTTTAGGATTGGTGCCACCCCCGCCCAGGGGGCTGCACGTGTTAACGTGATTTTTTGCTAAACTTGTGTCCCCCTCGAAAACAAAATCGACTGTTCTGAGCGTTTCCCAAAAAAAAACTGAGCTGTCAGGAAATGCATCTGTTTCGTTTTCGATATGTAATGTTCAACAGAAAAATGTAAATTGACTCGGTACTTCCCATACCGAAATCTTGGGTCATTCGGAAATAATCAGAGTTCCATTTTCTGACAATTTTCCAACCAGATATTGTTTATTATTCAAATGATGACATTAGAAGTCTTACACCCAGAAAAAATAATTTCTTCACCTTCTGTTTTGGCAACAATGTCAACCTTTTATCTTTGTTTTTGTTTACCTTTGTCAAAATGTTATCTCTTAGTTTTTGTGAAGAACGCAGTTTCTGAGAGTTGAGTAGTACAGTTACTGCCCTTTCATATTTACGTAAGCATAACAAAATGCCTCGAGTTTGAAGACGTCCAAACTATCACCATGTTAGCGACTTTGACAGGGGTAGAATTATTCACCTATCGCGAAATTGGCACTGCAGTGACGGTAATGCGTGTGTGTCGTGTGTGGATAGAAGGAGGTAGAGGAACACGAAGAACGCCAACCGATACACCGAGGCGCACCAAGATAGGCGCTTCAGACATCTAGCCGTTTTGCTACTACGTATCAGATCGCTGGTCAATGTTTTGGAGAAGAAGGTGGAACTGTTACTATGTGTACAGTCTACCGCTGCATGCAAGCCTTTGGACTTTTCATACCATCCACCTAACCTATTGTATCAGCCCGTACGAACATTTGACCAACCTCATGCCAATATCTTTAGAGAATCAGCCTAAATATGTCTCTAAAGTGTTTCTTAGTACACTTATTATAAACAAACAGATATGCTTCGCACATTCAACGTAGGTTTTTACATGATCTTATCGTTGTGGTCAAGAATGATATGCAAATCACGTTCTCATGCAGATGTTTTGAAGGAATTAATCCGCGACGCATTCAATGGGTTTTCAAAGCATGGTAATCCCGTTTATGTCACTAAAACATTTAATGTGGATAATTTTGCCATCGACCAAATTCAACAACAAAAAAGTTATGACGGGTTATACAAAGTTTGTCAAAATGTAAACAGGATCAAGAAGAAAAATGAACAAACATTTTTTGTTTCGGGAAATCGAATTTAATTTATCCAAAATAGTTTCATTCAGAGTTGATACAGGATGAAAAGATTTTCGAATGATGATTTTAGCTCACTGAGGATGGCGTCTACGTCCTTCATGGCCAAATGTAGTTTACCGAACAGAAAATAGTCACACGGTGCCATATCAGGAGAATATGGGGAGTTACATTACAAATGAATTTACAGAGTTGAAGAAAACGCCCTCACCAAGTCCTGCACCATCTTTACAGCACAGAACGGAGAATTTGTCTGCTCTCAATAGACGTAGAATGAGCAAGCGGCGAACTATTCTGTACGCGAAGATTAAAAGTTTGGAAAATAAAGTAAGGAACGCATTCAAGCTTAGCGAAAAATATAAGAATAGGTGTGTGAGATTGAAAACTGAAAATACTGACCCAAACTGTCCACCAGCTAAAGTGTCTTAGCTTTAAAAGTATATACAGGTTCTTGAAGTTGTAAGAACAAGACTCATTTTCGGAGAAGGACTGTCAACTTGGAAGTAATAATAATGATAATAATAATATTTATTTGCTTTCAATTAAATTACGAATGTTACAGGTGAAATAAAAAACATGCAAATAAATATGAAATACCCGCAGAAGGCAAAGCCTGTGCGTGGTGAGATGTCTGTCCAATATTCAGTCTATATCAGTATAATTGTCATTATTTCATTTGCTTTAGCTGCTGCATGCTTAGATATGCTTAACCTTATGTATATATTAAGAACTTTTAAAAAAATTCCTTGACAGTTAAAAAAAAGGTTTTAATCGTTTTTATATAACCCGAAAACAATGTGCAATATTCTACCAGCGGTTTCTAGAGCTTAAAATAGGAAGAAAAGTTTATATAAACATAGGTCTAAAACGTCCCCTAAGGGCGCTACGATCTTTTAAAGGGGCTCCCATGAAGATGGTTTTTCCTTAATATTTCCGAAACGTGTTGAGATAAAGACATAAAATTTGGTATTCTAGCCTAGTTTTTTATGCTGGATTTAAAAATTTTAACAATTTTAGACAGTTTTGTTTGGAAGCGTATATAAGGGACGGACTCAGGTTATTTTAGCCCCAAAATTTTTGTGTGATTCTATTTTTGAAATTCAATTTTAGTATTTGAAAATTTAAGGTTTTCTACATAAAAAAGGTACTCTTATTGAATATCGATAAACTGTGCCATTTTTGAATAAAATCGAACTAAAAAATTTGTCACATGATAGGAAATGTACTGCGAATTTAAATGAATTGTTGAATAATTTGCCATGGCAACGAAGAAACTAATTTAATAATTGGTAAATATACTAAGTGACATATAAATCCGAACACTCAGTTTAAATGGTTTTATTTTAATAAAAGTTGGTGAATGTATTTATCTTACTGTAAATAACAAGTGAAAAAATTTTCAGCCTTATCAGTTGGACATTCCGGTTTTCATACTGCTTTTTTTTAATTCACTAATGCTCTAAAAATGAATATTTCAGCCGCAGTAAAGAATCAACGTTGGCGGATTTTGGTTCTTGACATCCTTTACGATCGGTTACGATGCCTAGAGTACGGAGACCTGTACGATTTCGTCAACTTAGTGAGTTTGATAGGGGCCGTATAGTGGGACTTCGGGAAGCTGGACTTTCTTTTCGGGCAATTGCAGTTAGAGTGCAAAGAAGTGTAGACACTGTGGTTAGGTGTTGTCAGGCATGGCTTCGAGAAGGCCGTACGCAAAGAGCAAGGGGCACTGGACGCCGCCGTAAAACAACAGACCGTGAAGATCGCCGCCTAAGATTATTGGCCTTAAGGGACCGCTTCTCCACTACCAGGTCCATTGCAAATGAATGGTTTGCAGAACACGGAAGACCTATTGGCATCGAAGTGTTTACCGACGAATGAGAAGTTTT